CCATCTTTGTTTTGAACATTAGGATCAACTTGTTCCTTCAGCAACAGTTCAACTATTTGAGTGTGACCATTTAGACAAGCCAATATAAAAGCATTCACTCCATCTTTGTTTTGAACATTAGGATCAACTTGTTCCTTCAGCAAAAGTTCAACTATTTGAGTGTGACCATTTAGACAAGCCAATATAAAAGCATTCACTCCATCTTTGTTTTGAACATTAGGATCAACTTGTTCCTTCAGCAACAGTTCAACTATTTGAGTGTGACCATTTTGACAAACCAACATGAAAGCATTTGCTTCATCATTCAGTTGAACATTAGGATCAACTTGTTCCTCCAGCAACAGTTCAACTATTTGAGTGTGACCATTAAGACAAGCCAACATAAAAGCATTCCAGCCATTTTTCTCTTGAACATTAAGATCAACTTGTTTCTTCAGCAGCAGTTCAACTATTTGAGTGTGACCATTTTGACAAGCCAACATAAAAGCATTCCAACCATCTTTGTCTTGAACATTAGGATTAACTTGTTTTTTTAGCAACAGTTTAACTGTTTGAATGTGACCATTTAGACAAGCCAGCATCAAACCAAAGCAACCTTTTATTTGGACATTAGGATCAACTTTTTCCTTCAGCAACAGTTCAACTATTTGAGTGCGACCATTTTTACAAGCCAACATAAAACCAATCCAACTGTTCTTTTTTAGAACATTAGGATCAACTTTTTTATTCAGCAAAAGTTTAATTATTTGAGTGTGACCATTTAGACAAGCCAATATAAAAGCATTTGCTCCATCATTCATTGGAACATTAGGATCAACTTGTTCCTTCAGCAACAGTTTAACTATTTGAGTGTGACCATTTTGACAAGCCACCATAAAAGCATTTGCTCCATCATTCATTGGAACATTAGGATCAACTTGTTCCTTTAACAATAGTTCAACTATTTGAGTGTGACCTTGTTGACAAGCCAATATAAAAGCATTACAACCATCATTTCTTTGAACATTAGGATCAACTTTTTTCTTCAGCAAAAGTTCAACTATTTGAGTGTGACCATTCAGACAAGCAAATATAAAAGCATTTGCTCCATCATTCATTTGAACATTAGGATCAACTTGTTCCTTTAGCAACAGTTCAACTATTTGAGTGTGACCATTTTCACAAGCCAATATAAAAGCATTCCAACCTCTCTTTTGTTGAACATTAGGATCAACTTGTTCCTTCAGCAACAGTTCAACTATTTGAGTGTGACCATTTTGACAAGCCAACATTAAAGCATTCCAACCATCTTTGTCTTGAACATTAGGATCAACTTGTTCCTTCAGCAACATTTCAACTATTTGAGTGTGACCCTTTTGACAAGCCAACATTAAAGCATTCCGACCATTCTTTTTTTGAACATTAGGGTCAACTTGTTCCTTCAGCAACAGTTCAGCTATTTGAGTGTAACCCTGTTGACAAGCCAACATAAAAGCATTACAACCATCATTCCTTTGAACATTAGGATCAACTTTTTCCTTCAGCAACACTTCAACTATTTGAGTGTGACCATTTTGACAAGCCAAAATAAAAGCATTTGCTCCTTCATTCATTTGAACATTAGGATCAACTTGCTCCTTTAGCAATAGTTCAACTATTTGAGCATGACCATTTTCACAAGCCAATATAAAAGCATTCCAACCTTTCTTTTGTTGAACATTAGGATCAACTTGTTCCTTCAGCAACAGTTCAACTATTTGAGTGTGACCATTTTGACAAGCCAACATTAAAGCATTCCAACCATTCTTTTTTTGAACATTAGGATCAACTTGTTCCTTCAGCAACAGTTCAACTATTTGAGTGTGACCATTTTGACAAGCCAACATAAAAGCATTCAAACCGCTTTTTATTCGAACATTAGGATCAACTTGTTCCTTCAGCAACAGTTCAACTATTTGAATGTGGCCATTTTGACAAGCTAACATAAAAGCATTCCAACCATCTTTTCGTTGACATTTATAATCAACTCCTTTACTAATCAATAGCTCAACAACCTCACAGTTTCCATCATAATTAGCAATCATTACAGCATTTGATCCATCTGATGTCTTCAGGTGAGGATTAGCATTAGCTTCTAGTAAGATGTGAATGATTGAAATGTGATTACGTTCACTTGCTATCATTAGTGCAGTCCATCCTTTATTGTCCTGAATGTTAACATTAGCTCCAGCAGACAGTAAACTGTGTACAATGTCCTCATGTCCTTTTCCACAAGCTAACATTAGTGCTGTCTTGCCTTCTTCATTAGTATGATCAATAGTAACAGTTTCTAGTTGAAGAAGAAACTCTACTGCTTCATTATTACCAGCTGTGACTGCCTCAAAGAGAGCTAGTTCAAAGGTGAAGTTCATATTCTCATCTTCTTGAAAGACAGCATGATCATTAATGTATAAACTAAATATACCAATGAGACGCATAAACTGTAAATTTTCTACTATATAATCTATTAAACTATCAGCTGTAATGTCAAGAATATGTAACTTGATGACAACAGATCCTGGCTCAATAGTGATGCATTTCATTATTGACTGTCTAAGTTCTTTTGGTAGCAATCTTTCAATCAGAATATAAAGTCCATTAATCTTAACATCATTCCAAGGATTCTGAAGTTCAATACATATCAATGGCATATTTTCCAAACGTCGCCTATAAGGTCCATAAACTTTACGTAGCTGTTGTTTAAGATTTTTAATTGGCTCTGATGAACGAAATGCATTAGCTATGATTGAATAAACCTTCAGTTCTTCAAGTAAATCTTTTTCATCACTTATAAACTCATTACACATAGCAACTATCAGACTACAGTCAATGAAATCATAATTATGATAGACTTTTTTGAAAATATCATCTAAATCATTATCTAATGTGCCATGCTCCCAGTGAAGGTAACTCTCAACCCATTTGGATATTTTAAAAGAAAATTGAGGATTTTGGACTGTTTTTTCATGAAATGCTGATTTTACTTCTTTCATAATGTGAGAAAATTTTACTTGCAATTCATCCAAAGAGTCTTGAACTGCTTGATCGTCATTTGGAAAAAAAATAATTTCAACATCTCCTAAAAACAAAATTTTTAACTCAACATCCACTATTTAACTTGTTAAAAGCAACTTTGTGGTTACTTTGATATGTTGCTGCTTTTAACAAAGTTAAATAGTGGATGGTGAGCATTAAAGATACCGGTATACATTTGCACTCTGTCCAAAAAGATGGACATGTGCAAGTTCAAATTTTTTCACTATAAAGATGAATTTAATTAACTGCTACATGCATATTATATTATGCTAAACAGGTGTATAATTAATATCATACATAATACCAATTTATGTAATCAGCCTATACAACTTACCATCAGAACATGATCTTCTTGATGATGATGACATTGTAGAGGCAGCTTGATAGTATATATGATCTTTAATATCTTGAGCTAGCTTATTCTGATTTCTACTAGTCAGTGCATCAATGACATCTCTCCAAGTTGCTTTAGGATTGACTGACAGCCATTTTGAGTACAGTGCTGACTTTTGTTCATCGATTTTGACATTTTCTACTTCAATCTTTGAAATTTCTGAATAAGTAAGCTGAGGTAAACAACGACCGAATGGTTTCCAGTCAACAAGCTCATCAAGCCATTGAGTTAGCAATAAAATATCAGGTCGATCATCAATCATAGGACCAGGATTGAGTTCAACATCGCCTGATAAGAGGAGGAGCATACGTAGACAAACAATCAAATAGAGATCATTGTAAATCAGGTTAGAACTGCTGCCTCCAGGTAAGACTACTGACTGGAGGTAATTTGTATCAGTAACAGTAACACCAGTAGTACATTGTACTTGGTAGCAGTTACCTAATAATAATATTCCAGTAAAATAATATACAAAGTTGCAATTGTTGTTTACCTGTTGGAGGAATTATCAAGATGTGTCTTAATAAAGAAAGAAAGAGGAGGAGGAGGAGGAAAGCAATAAGAGACAGAAATGCTGGCAGTTTAGATGTCTTCTCTCCTGATGTAGTACTGCCTGACTTGCTGTCTACTGCAGCTTTGAATGAGTGAGAGTAGCGGCCATTAGCTGGTCTACTGGAGGCAGCTTGACAGTAGTTCCACAGTCCAATACTTGCTCTCCATTGAGAGACATCAATCATCTTGTAACTATTAGCAGTTATATTGGCGTGAAAGTACCTAATAGATCTATCCAGTCACTTGTATCAAAAAATGCAAGCACAGCAGATGACTTTATGCTTAATTGTTGCCCTAGTGATTCAAATTGATTTAATTATGCTAGATCTGTTTTACTCTACTACAGTTATTATTGTAATATGACCAAATTTGGTGATTTCACACTCTCTCTACTATGCCCACCCACTTCTATTTCTGCAAAAGAACGGGCAGGGTTTATTTGTGTTACCAAGAGTACATAATTTACTCTATTATTTTTCAAGTTTCAACATAAAATGTGTCACCTTGTTTTGATGCATTGCTATTAAAGGGCAATAGAAGTCAATGAACAAAAATCCTTAAAACTCCAATCAGGAGCCCATCAAATGTTAAGGTGAATAGGTCCATACTCTAGAACCAGTATAAAGGATAGGTGTACTTCCACATATTCATTTTCATAGTCTGCGTAGGACTATACATGTAGCTAAACATTTGCTATCTGAGAATATTTTAATCGTATGTGTACAAAAAGAATCATCTCCTCCCATTCAAAAAATATATTTCAAATAGTGCAGTATAGTATATTGATAATTATAACTAGTCAATTAACCATTATAACTATTAATAACCACACCTACAAGTTATACAGAGTAATAAAGCCACACCCACTAATAATAAAGGTACAGTATATTCACGAGTTTCTTGTGTGCGGAGATTCTCTTGCATCAGCTGGACTTTAGCTTGTAACCTTGTAGCTCTCTCTTCTCTCAGTCTCCTCCTTAATTCAGAGGCTTCCCTGGGGAGAGAGAGAGAGAGGGGGAAGAGAAAGAGAGAGAAAGAGCAAGGGGGTATCAATTTCATCAAGCCTGTAGTTACACTTGCGACCGCGATCAAATCAAAATCAAGACATCAAAGGGACAATCGGATTGCAATCAAGGGATCAAGACAGTCGTAGCAGGCATCAAGATATGTATATTTTCCGTATATCTTTGATTATGCAGATCTATGAATTTTTAATTAGCTGTGCACGCACGTGAGCTCATCAAAATCAAGCATCAAGGGAAATCAAGCGTGTAGATCAAGGTATCAAAGGTCTTTTTATGCAGATCAAAGCTTTTGATCGCGGTCGCAAGTGTAACTACAGTCTATATGTAAGTGACACCCCCTTGAAGAGAGAGAGATAGGAAGGAAGGGAGGGAGGGAGAGAGAAAAAAAGAGATTAAGGTACATGCAAAAAAGGAAGAGAATATTAAACTTCAGTGCACATACTGAAAGGATTTGACTATAAAAGACTGATTCCAACTTCAAATTATCAAATTATGGCCCTTTTTTAAAAATGGCCAATAGTTTTTCGAAAAAATGGCTCCAAAATCAACCCAAATTTTTATTACATTTTCTGATACATATTGATGTACTTATGCTGTGTAGAAAGTTTGAGCTGATTCCGACATCAATTTTTTAAGTTACAGCCATTTTAAGAAAACACCAAAATTCTGAAGAATACCCAAGGCTATAGCCCATGGTTTTTTCCAAAAAATGGCTTCAAAATCACCCCATATTTTTATTACATTTTCTGATACATATTGATGTCCTTATGCTGTGGAGAAAGTTTGAGCTGATTCTGACTTCAATTTTTCAAGTTACAGCCATTCTAAGAAATCACCAAAATTCTGAAAAATACCCAAGGCTATAGCCCATGGTTTTTTCCAAAAAATGGCTCCAAAATCACCCCAAATTTTTATTACATTTTTTGATACATATTGATGTCCTTATGCTGTGTAAAAAGTTTGAGCTGATTCCGACTTCAATTTTTAAAGGTATGGCCATTTTTTTTAATGGCCAATTTTTTGAAAAATACCCAAGACTATAGCTCATGGTTTTTTGCAAAAAATGGCTCCGAAATTACCCCATATTTTTATTACATTTTTTGATACATATTGATGCCCTTATACTATGTAGAAAGTTTGAGCTGATTCCGACTTCAATTTTTCAAGTTATGGAATACAAATTTAAGATTCAAAATTATTCATAAATCATACATCTAGTCATACACATGTAGTGTACTTATAAACACATTCGATCATTAATTATTATTATCATTATTATTATTATTATCTGACCTTATGATCAGTGACTCCTGGTTCATCTGATTTCTTCTTATCTTTATTAAATTGTGCCAACTCTAACTTTGTATCAAAATCATCAGTCCACGAATGAGGCTATTATTAATTAATTATTGTTAATTAATGAAAACCACACCCACCATTATTTGACGAATAGCTGAGCTGTACTGATGCCAGGAGACCTCTCCTTCATGTAGTAAATATTTATGAAATAATAACTTGAAATGCTACAAAGAAAAAGAACTACATGTACACATGTGTATATAAGAACACATGTACATGTAACTATATGTACATGTACATTGTACGTGTGTATGATATGAAACAGAAATTACTTAAGCTACATGTAAACAAGGATTTATCGTGAAATATTTCTAAGAATACACATGTACGTGTAGCTGCATGGCATTTATTAGAACTGTAAAAATTCTCTCAAACTTTAGACAATATCCCTGAAACACATGTACATACCATACGTACATGTACATACATGTAAATGTCTTTAGTGGACTGTTGCTAATTATTACATGTACATTGTACTTGTATTTCTCCATAAAGTAAGTACATAATAATAATAATAATAATGATACATTAGTATACTCTTACTGTGAATGATGATAATCCAATGTCATATGCAGGATGGACCTCAAAGTCTCCTGGTTCGTGTTTCCATAGCAACTCGCCAGTCTTACCGCTAACAGCATAAGTACAATAATGACCCAATGACTCCAACTAAAGAATAATAATAATAATAATAATAATAATAATAATAATAATAATAATAATAATAATGTAATTTAATAATAATAATAGTAATAATAATAAAGTAATTTAATAATATTTAAAATGTAAAGCTTAAAGTAAATGTACATGTACTCAAATTAAAATTCTATTATAAATACAAAAAGTACAAAAATGTTATACTTTTTGATGCTCCATCTTTTCCTGTTCTGCTCCTCTTCTCATCCTATCACAAATAAACATTGAAAATAATAAAATATGTACAGCATTCAATTTCTCTCTCTCTCTCTCTAAGCCTCTTACCTTCTCTTATCACTATCTCCTCCAATATTATCATTATTATTATTATTGTCATAGTTTCCATTAATTCTTCCTCCTACTAGTATAACTCCAGCTGGACTCTTCTTGATGCTAATGGCCGACACTAACAAACTAGCTTCACTATAAGAGGAGGGGACAATTATTACAATATTAATTAAAAGTGTGCATTAATTAAAATATTATGTTCACCTGGAAATTGGGATTTCCTTTTCATTCAATTTTTGGCTCCACATCAGTTTGAGGTTGTGATTATAACAACTGAGCGTCCAATCAGAATACAGGACTGCTATTACCTAATTTCAAAAAATAAATACATGAGAACATGTACATGTACATGTACACATATACACATGTACATGTATTTCTTCTTCTCTCTCTCTCCTAACCTGCTTGCGTACTTGTACCACTGACTGGTATGGTTGTAGGAAACCGGTTGTCATAGCAACAACACGTGACGTCTTTGACAATGACACCTACAAACAAACAAAATATCTTCATCCGCTCTCTCCCCCCCCTTTCTCTCTCTCCCTCCCTCCCTCTCCCTCTCTCACTCCCCCCTCTCCCTCTCTTACATTTTTATTACTGTGTTTGATCCCATGGTGTCCAAGATAAGAAGGTGTATAATGGCGTGAGTATACATTGAGTACCTTATCAGCACTGACTAGTATAACATCTAGTGATGGAGGAAGAGGAACAAATAATTAAAATATACATGTACATGTACATCTCAGTAAAAATGGGCTACTTTGTCTGTGTTAAAGTTTATTCTTATAAAGAATAAGAATAAAAATACATAAGGCTATAGCCCATGGAATAAAAAATGGTCATCCTTCCCTAGGTAAAGATGAGGTCTTCTAAGAAATGTACAAAGCATACATGTAGGGAGTTCATTTTGTGGTAAGAAAAATATCTTAACGACAACAAGGCCAATTCTGTAAATGTTGACTGCATTAACTAGTTACATGTACATATTTTTAATATTATCTTATAGCATTACCTGTTTGTCCATCACTTTCCAAATCAGTTACAATAGGCAAAGGACTGAATAAAGAATTTAAAAATAATGACACAATTAAGCCTGCGGAATTTTTCCTTACAGTTTTTCATTTCTAAGAGGGAATTTCTGATTGGCATAATTCTCTCTCGCCGCCCTTTCCTCAGTAGTTACGTTAAGTACTAGTTTAAACTCTAGGCTATCCTGTGATCTTAATAGGAACGCTAATACTGAACAAGATATGAAGAGAAACAGTATCTCTTGAAATGTGATCCATTTAAATACACCACCCTCCATAATTGCAGACAATGCCACGCCCACAGTGGATGATGTGTTCAATGCTCTAACTCGTTTGAATCCGTCCAAGTCTAAGGGTATTGATCAGATTGGCCCATTAATCCTAAAGAATTGTGCTCATGTTCTTTATCGGCCAATTCATCACCTATTTTGTCAATCGTTGCAGTATGGCTCATTGCCTCAAGAATGG